GGTCCGACCCTTCACACCTCGGCCGTGAAGGCGAGTCTCGGGGACAGTGCAGCACGCCGCCGGATGCGACCCGCCGCCGTCGGCTCAGGCCCGTTCCACCGCGGCCTCAAGGCTTCGCAACCTGCTTCAAACGGTTGTGCAACGCCGGCTGGGAGTGCAGCTAATGCAGTCTCCGTGCGCGCGCGCGCACCGTGTGCGCCGGCTCCAGCGACGCCCGCGGTGCGGGTTTTTGCGAGTGCGTGCCCTGGATGCGGCGGTGGGGCGCGGGTGGTGCAATCGGCCGATAAACAGAGCCACCCGTAATGGTCTGACGGGGCACCTGCTGACGCAACTGGGCACGGAGGGACCGCGCGCCACCGTCGCCGCCGCCGCCGACCGCGCGCCGCGCGCCGCCGGGCTCCGTGCGTGCTGTATGTCTGTCTGCAGTTGTGTGCGTCCGGCCGCGTGTCCGCGTGACCATCCGTCCCAGGCCGGCGGGCCGCCCTCGGTCGTCGACCGCGGGCGGCGGCGTGCCGGCCGATCGAGGTGCGATTTCTCTGGCCGTGTCGTTACTGGCGGCGGCCCTGTCGAAAGTCAAACGACTGTCAGCGACGTTTGGAAACGGCGATGCGCGCGGTTCTGTAAGCGGCCGTATTTCGTGACCGTCCGTGTGCGAGCTGTCGAAACATGTCGGCGCCGCGCCGGCGGACGTGATGGCCGGCCGTGGCCGCGGCGGCCGCCGGCGACGCACCCGCCGCGGCCTTTCGCCTGTGCTCCAGCGGCTCAGTCGACGGAGGAAACCAAGGCGACCGGCAACTTCATCCGGCCTGTTATCCGTGTCATCCCCGCATCTGACGCAACCGCGAGCGCGTATATTTAACGAGGTGTTTTTCGTTTCGGGAGCTCTGGTGACCGCACATTTGAACTAAGGCAAAACCGATTGCGCGCATTCTTCGTGATTTGACGAGACTGTTTCAACGGTATCTGTTTTTTTCGCACGACGTCTGGAAGTTCGAGATTCGGGGAGGGGGAGGGGGGGTGGCGGATGGGCGCTGTAGAAGTCAGCTTTCCTCCCGGTCGAGCACTGATGTCTCAGACCCCCGGGGGGGGGGGGGGGGGGGTGACGGATGGGGGCTGTGGGAGTCAACTATCCTCCCGGTCGGGCACGCATGTCTCAGGTCCCCGGGGGAGGGGGGGCTGTGGGAGTCAGCTTTCCTCCCGGTCGGGCACGGATGTCTCAGATCCCCGGGCGGGCGCAGGTTAATTTGTTGCAAACTAGGCATGCGTTAGCGACATGTTGTCAAGCGCTGGTAGCGTAGAGTTGGGCATATTATTGTGAAATATCAGCTCATTGCGTGCAGGCTCCACACATTTCCCCGTATGGCGCCGGGGTTGCGCTATTGCCTTTTACTTATTCTTCAAATCGCTTTCGTAGGGTTGCGCGAATGTTACGCAAGGCTCGTTGCGAATGTTTTACATTTTGCACCTGCGCATGTCAGGTCCCTTTCATGATGTTCGGTAGTCGTTTTGTCCGGTCCAAACAGGTGCAAGTTGAAAAGATAACAGCGTTCATTGATTACCAGGTCCGTGAGGCGCTAGTGTCCTTGCTTTTAACTGGCTTCGACGACAGCGGCGTTGAGCCAACATGGGAACGCGTGCAGGGCTGGCGAGGTATTCTATGAAGCCAGTTTGGGTCGTCGCTAGGTTATGGCAGCTGTAACACGGGCAGGGAAGAATTTCCCTTCATATGGAGTTTCGTAGCTCGAAACGTCCTCGAACACTACATTATCCGCGGATACACACAGCGCACACTGTATCCGAGCTGCTGACGTTTGCTGCGGCCCCGGGTATGGGCGCCTGGGAGCGCAGGGTGGACGCATCTCGCTGCCCGGCACTCCGCCGTGCGCTAGGTGGTCAGGCGGCTGTCATGATGTTGCCCCCAGCTGGCCGCGACCCGCACCGGGTCACCGACGACGGCTCCTCCATCCGCCGGGCGGCTAGCCGGACCCGGACAGCCATCGATGTCACGCAGGAATGCACAGCTCCTTGTCGCCGGTCAGCGGCGATGACAAGGGCGTGTCAACATCACCGGTCAGCGGCGATGACGATGGTGCGTCCACGTCATCGGGCGGCGACGATAGCCCGCGTCTACCCCCGTCTGATCACACGGGCTTCCCCAGCGGTTGCGTAGCTCGCCCGTGTCCACCGCCGCTGAGCCACGTATTGCCATCGACAGCGTCCGCCTTGTCTGGCGACCATCCGGCCGGCACTGGCGGGCCGTACCGCCGCTAACGTGCCGCCTGGCCGCCGCTGGCCGGGGGTGCCGACCATGGACGGCCGGGCGATATCGCGCGCTCGCGCCGTGCCGTGACACACCCGCCGCGTGGGAGGCGCGCCGCTGTCTCACTTCCCGTGTGTTGCGCCACGCCGCGCGCCGATGGCGGCGGCGTGCATCGCAGCGCCCGGATCCGGCGGCCGGCGAACAAAGGCGGCGGGTGTGGTGGGCAGCAGCCGGCGACGGCGCGCCCGCGGCCGGCCTTCGCGGCGCCGCAGGACGGTGGCGAGCTCCTCGACCGGTCCGGGCGGCGGCGGCGGTGGCGGCGGTGGTCGGCCCGGGCGGGGATGGTCGGCCGCCGTCCTGCTGTCGCCGCGGTTCCGGGACCCGCTGACCGGGCGTGATCCGCCCAGCTTCGCACGGGGCGGCGGCCGGACACGTGCCGCCCGCGGCGGAGCTGCGCCGCGCGGCCCCGGCTCGGCCCAGCCCTCACCGGAGGTGTGGAAAGCGGACCGTCGGGCTGGCGGTAATGAGTCGCGTCGAGATGGGATGTTTGGAGTTATTTCTCTCACGTATAGCTTCCGTTAGAGCGCGGTGCCTGGCAGCCGTCCTGCTGACCAATCAGCCAAAACGACCCATCGTTGATTTGTCACGGTTTGCCAGACTTGTTCGGAATGTACAGCTGATGTGAAAGACGTCGGCCGAAAGCTGGTACGTCCGTGGTTCTAGGCATGGATTCCATTTCAAAATCCGTAGGCTTTTTAATGTTTTTGTTGAAGTTTCTTATGTGTTTCATACGCCCGGTTTTGTCGCAACGGGCTTGTCGATTTCATCCTCATGCTTCATGTCTGTCATTATCGGAGATCCTAGGCAACACCATCCGCTGTTTGGAAATAACTTGTCCCGTCGCAGTGGGTGCAGTGGAGCTTCATCCAGTCGTTCGCTGCTCTCTTCTTTCCGCCTGGTTCTTATTAAATGGCGGTCACTAGCTCCGATGTATTCAGCCACGACGCCCTGTCAGTCTGAATCGTTTCTCTGCTGCCAGGTCCCAGAGCGACACATTTATTACAAAAATGCTCAACGGACGCCTTCCGCTCCGGAGCTCTGGACCAGAGGATGAGCTTTTCGCCGTGGGCACGTGTTCACATATACGGATGATGTAAAAGCAGATGACTGAGTGGTGACTGAGCGCATCGGCGAGCGCGCTGCCACTCGTTCCATCACTTTGCTTGCTAACGCGTCAGATGTTACATCCGAACTTATGCCGCTGGAAATCGGGATTCACGCCTCATGTCAACAGTCAGCAGCCTTTTAGCTGGGAAGGTGTTTTACCAGGGATGTTCCTTGTGCAGGATGATGTAACGTGTAATTATCAGTTGACAGTGCGGCTGACAGAATCACTTCCTGTTGGGACTTCAAGCCATGTCGGATTGGTGTTTAGAGAATCAAGCTGCCAGATGTCTTAGAGAGGGGGAAGGCAACGCTGGTTCTTTGCACACGTTCGCTCCCACGCCATACTTGGGACGTTTACCGATCTGTCGGAACTTCAAACGCCGACAAGGTGGCAGCATAGTCGGAATGTGATGATCGGTAATAATCCCCATGCTCCATGAGTAAAGACCAGTTGCCACCCCGGCTGAGGGGGAGGGGAGGGGGGGGGGGACTTGGCATCCCACAGGTATCGACAAAAAGCGGAGGTTCTCTCTAGGCTGCGCGTTGGCCATACTTATGCGACTGACTCTGTGGCCAGGAGAGGCCAAGTGGTTTCGCTGTAGTGTAGCACTCGCCGCCCACGCTGTGTGTCGTGTGCGCGCGCGCTGTGCTCACGCTGTGTGTCGCGCGTCAGTCGTGTGTGCATATCCACGCCGAGCGGCTGCATTATTTTAGACGGTATGCTGCCCGCATAGATTTCACGGCGTCTGGAAATAATGGCACGGGCCTCACGCAGACCGCTTGTTTTTCTTAGAGCTGTACTTTCTCAGCTGTATGCAAACCATCATCGAACAATCACACGTGTTGTGTGCGTGAGAAATTAAAATGATAGAATATGTACTCATTGCTTTGTATCCGCATCCAGTTTGACGCACCTGAATTTTGCCCGGGGCCTACTTTGTGTGGTACGGCGAAGCGTGACGGCGGGCCGCGCGGCCAGCCCGGTCGAGGCCCACCATGGAAACTCATATGTCGCGTCAGTCACCAGGTCATGTCAGCGGTGACAGATGTCACAGGCTCTGACGGCGATCCCTGCGTTCATGTGTTCATCGTGACGCGCGCTGCGACAGAATGTCGCAAACTGGCGGGCGGCACATGACAAAGTAGATTCGATTTAAGGATCATTTATAGTTGTGGCATTGTGGTGTCTTCCGTAAACAAAGCGTATAATTGCACGTGCGAACCGTTGAAGTTGCCATTTGTTAGCGACGCGATCTTTAACACTGGCCATATGGGAGGTTAATACTGCACGTGAGTGGGTGTCACGTACCGTTCAGCGCTTTCATCCTCCCATTACGCCGGGAGTGTGTGAGGGGACCTGTCGAGGACGTGAGGAGGACCCTGTTGTAACAAGGATACGGCTGGTGACATTGGACTCGATCACCTCCGCTTTTGGCGCTCCATGGGCAGCTTTTGGCGGTCTGCGTGAACTCGGCGGCCGGCTATTGAACCAGCGCTAGCTTTAACATTCCGCACGGTGCTATGGAGTTTCGTGGAAGTGTGACATCGTTCGTGACCACTCGCTCTTTCACAGGCAAGCCGTCGGACATGTGGGCGCTGGGCGTTGTGCTCTACACGATGCTGTACGGCCAGTTCCCCTTCTACGACGCCGTGCCGCAGGAGCTGTTCCGCAAGATCAAGGCTGCCGACTATGTCATCCCTGAGTAAGTGCACCAGCGGCGTCCGTCACGCACCCGAGCCAGCGCCCCGCGCCACTCGCTCCATCCCGTGTCTGTGCGCCGGTGGGCGCGCGTTCCGCGGCGGTCGCCGGTCAGTGGGTCGGGGCCGGACGTGAGCCACGTCCGGCCGGCGGCGGCGGCGACCGGGCCGGCCGGCGAGAGCACGCGCGGCCCGGGCGAACCGGTGAAATCCAGCTGGGCGGCGGCGACCGGCCGACGCTGGGACGGTAGACGGGCACGTCCGCCGCCCGGAGCGGCGCTAACGCCCTCGAAGGTTCGCGCCGCCCGGTGGGGTCAGCGGCTCGAGACGCCGCCCGTCTGCTACGGTCTGGCTGGGGCGACGGGTCTTCAGGCGTGGGGCGAGAGAAGAGAGGGAGGAGCAGGACTGGGAGAAAGACGGAGGGCGGGCCGGACTTGTCGGGGCTTTGTCGCTGTTTGCCGGCCGGCCGGCTCGGTCGATCCTCCGCCGTGGTCCGCGGCCCGGCGAGCCGGCTCGCGCCGGCTCTGGCCCGCCCTGCGCGGCCGGTGGCCCGCTGGGGCGCGCTATGACGTCACCGGCCAGTCGCACCGCCGGCCGGCGCTCTGACACCGATTATCGGGCTTGCTGGCACCGTCTCGCGGGTCGCGCGGAATAGCCACCGCCGGCAATGCTGGCGCTGTTGGTCAGATGTCATGCTGATGCGGCGGCGGCGGCGACGGCGGCCGGGGGCCGAGCCTTGGCCGAACGGGTTCTACCAGAATTGGGGCCAAGGTCACCCCCATCCCGTCGTCCGGATGGTTTGTTATCAAAGCGGTCACGCGGCCACCGGATCAGCTGGCTCCAGCCACTCATGGGCGGCGCTCCGAATGGGACCTGCTTTATGAAGCCCGCGCACTCCCCCTCCCCGTCCCTCGCTCTGCGTGAGGGGCGCCCTCGACACGCATTGGCCACCCCCCACCTCCGCCCCCGCCCCAGAGGTACACGGCGTGCGCCAGTGACACTGGGCAGTGTTGAGGGCGGCTGTCATGGCCGCCACCTGCCCCTCGAGCTGTTCATACGGTGTAGAGAACCGAGACCGCCAGGGAACCCTAGTCGGCTCAAACTTGCGACCTGCTCCAAGCATGTTGCTCCAGTTGGGATACACCTGTAGTCTATACAGTGTGGGTGTTTGGAAAATGACGAAATTATTTGGTTTTATGGAGCGGTTTAGTGTGACAAGTGCCATCGCTGACCTTTACTTCATCGACCAACAATCCTTAAATGTTATTTTCGGTGATAGCTTTGTTGTGCTGGTCAGTTATGATGGGGAGTGACACTAAACTCAAGGAAAAATGCCGCCGCTGACGGCATTAGCATATAGAAAATGCTAATGCCCCATCTTAGAATAATTGACGCTAGTTTCGCCGGAAAAGTACGAGCAATTTGCTGCCTGGTTTGTAATGATAATTTTGATTTTGCGACATATGGCGTACGTTTCTGAGCCGCCATGCCCTGCAATGCCTGCCGTGACAATGTGCAGTAACGTTGTCACCGGATAGCGCAGTTACTGTTACGGCTCACGTTCTCCTCTGGCATTGCTCCATTTGTGTGTCGTTCAGTCGTCCTACTGATGTGGTGTTGATGACAGTGTGCCCGTATGCATGGCGCCACGCCACCCTGCGGGCGAGGGAACTGGCGTTGGTGTGGTGATGCTGGATGTCGTGTTACCCTTTCGATGCGGGTATGGTGTTGGTGCCCTGCTGGTGTGGTGGAGCCGCTCCACCGTGCCAGCGTGGGCCTGCCGTTGGTGTAGCCCTGAGCGTGGCGCGCCGCCCCTGCTAACGATGGGCCGCCGTTTCAGCGACGGCCGTGTGTCCGAGCCGACGACGATGCTGATCCGGCGCCTGCTGCTGCTCGACCCGCGGCAGCGCATCACGGCCGACCAGGTGACGGAGCGCTACTTCGGCCGGCACAACAACCTGCTGCGCCTCATGCACAGCCTGTACCTGGCGCCGCGCGACCGGGGGGGCCACGACCAGGTGGTGCCGCAGCTGGCCGAGCCGGCCGTCGACGAGCGCCGGCCGCCGCCCCCGCACGCGCCCGGCGGCAGCCTCGAGACCAAGGTCAACCAGCTGCAGCTCATGGAGAGCAAGCTGTTCACCGTCAACCAGGAGGCGGGCACGCGCCGAGCCGGCCAACCCGCTGCTGGGCATGTCGCGGCACGCGGTCATCGAGCGGCTGGACCGCGTGCTGCAGCGGCGCGACGCGGTGTGAGGGCGGCGCGGCGCGCGGTTCCCGTCTCCCCTACCCTCCCGCGGGCATTACTGTTCCCCGACCCCCTCCCAGTCGCCGCACACGCGCGCGCGAGCCGGTGTGCGTGTCACGAATGTCAGACATGTTCCAGTGATGAACGATTGGTGGGACTGTGCTGCCCTCTGTGGGCACTGGATTCGGCTGGCGTCACGTGCCCAGTTTGTTTCTTTCAGCGCCCTGCCGTGCAGTTGCTTTTCTTGTGATCCTCCTGGAATGTTCCACGTCATCCCAGATCTGTCAGAAACTTCCGTGCGTACATTGGTTTTCTCACGTTGAATCCCGTCCTGGCCTGCGGCTTCATGCCCAATAGGCGTTGCTGCTGTACAACCCACCTCTGACTGGCGCCACAACCGGGCTGGTTGACCCTTAGCTGAACCTCTGTGACAGCCATCCCGGCTGCTCGTGTGACAGCCATCCGCGCTCTGCCGTTTGGACGACTTCGAGAGACCGTGTTGTTAGGAATTCCCTGCGAACTAGCCTCTTAAGGGTATTATCTGGCCTGCAGGGTTCTGTTGACAGCCTGCCTGAGTTTCACATGGTAGTTATGGGTGTCCTTTCCGAGGTCAATGTGAAATCGTGGCCGGGAAAATCCCTGCCATCTCTGGTTCTCTCGCACTCGCGCGTTTTCTCGAGTCCAGCGCCAGTTCTGTGTGCGTGTGGACGTGACTAACGCGAGCTGGAGGAGGGCATGTCTGGGCCCCGGCAGCCGGCCGCGCCCGCTGGCGGTCGGGGCCGCGTCCCGACTGCGCCAGCTGGCGCTCCGCTCCCCAGACCCGCCACCATCCGTCGCCGTGTGCCTGTGAATGTCGTGCCGGTGTGATGTGGTCTCATCGTTCATATTGGCAGCTGCCGGCCCCCACATTGTTGTCCTCCACTGTGATAGACCCGCATCGGACGCGGCCGCCGTGCCCACCGGCCGCGCGCGCGGCCCGAGTCGGGCCGCTCTGGGCCGGCGGCGTCGGGCACCACCTCCACGCCGGCGCCGCCCCCGCGCGCGCGCGCCGGGCCGCCCCGTACAACTGGTGACATGTATCCGCGATACGGTCACGCGATGCGATGACAACGAAGCTATCCGGCATTAGATCCTCGTTTCTGATTGCGCCAGGTTTAACGCAAAGGATCCCAGACGAAGTGATCAGACTGGTAAGTTATGACATGTCGGCAATATCGAAAATACATCACCTAAGGCAGCCCGTGTCTGCGTCGCGGCCCGTCGAGTGAGGTGCGGGAAAGCGGGCCGTGGTTGGCAGCCCCGAACCTCTGCCGCCCGGCGAGACCGCCGGCATGTGTCGGGCGGGGAGACCGATGACGCCGTGCAGTGAGAGGATGCCGATCAGCACAGGCGTCTGACGGAGACACGGCCTCGGGGAATCTGAACTCCCCAGGTGGTTCAGTCCTTTCCTTACTTCGCATGGTATAGATTGTCTCGACTCTGTACCGGGCTGGAAGACTAAGGCACTGTGCTAGATTCCGAGTTACATCGGCATTACGGGGAAATGAGCTGGCTGCCGCTGCCGCACAGCGCGTTTCTCTTCGCTCCAGTTGAAGGGCGTTCCTAATTCCCGCTACAGACCTATACTCGGCCATCTCTGCTTCTTGTGCGCGGAGAATGGTGGAGCACATGGGATGCGACGGGTGCCGGCAAACTGAAAAGCCTTGACTCTGGTATCCAGAAATGATAGTCATCCTATCGAAAGTCTAGACGGGAGAAAGTCATCTTGTGCCGCTTGCGGATTGGCCATGCTTATGCCAAACATTAACTTCCGTGCTGCGACGAACTATCTCGGTGTCGCCACTGTTAACGCCATGCTGACAATGGAACATGCGCTCGTATGCTGACACATACCAAGCGTCAAACGCCTGAGGTACGTTGACCGGGCTGCGCCGTCTCTGGCGCTCTCCGATTTACTGTGTGACAACTCACCATACATGGGACGTATCTTAAAATTTGCATCGCACACAAAGTTCTGCCCTTCATATACACCTTCCTAAGGAGTTCATACTGGTGGTAGGCAGCTTTTAAACTGCTGAAGAGTTCGATAAATAATTTGTTACGGACGCTGCAAGACCGTGCAGTCGCTGCACCCCAAGCCCAAACAACCAGCCGGCATGATGGCGCAGTGAGCTCAGTGTCCCCGCGCCGGCGCCTGGACCTGAGGCCCCGTACCTCCGGTGCAGACACCGCCAGGGGCACCAACGCCGTCGACCTGCCACCTGGCGGCCGTCCGGACAAACAGCTGAGCGGTCCGCGCCGGATCGTGCCAGTATGTAACGCCGGCGCCAGCACGGCGGTGGTAAAGGTCAGCCTCGCGACATGAAACCGCGGCGTCCGCCCAATGGACGTGACGCGCCGGCGAATAACAGCCCGTAACGCCAGGCGTGCGGATACACTCCTGAGTTCCCTCGACTCGAGCGCGCGTCACTCCGAGACACACAGCAGCACGGAGAGCCGATGATGGTTCCGTGGACAATACGCTTTCAGAGGACGACGGAAATTCGTTTGCGCTAAAAAAAAATCCCGAGCTAACCATGCACTGGTGGATTCGCAATTCTTCCCCTGCGGCTGCATTGAGTACGGTGCTGCCGCCTGGTGTCGCAACAGCCGTCAGGCGATTTCGTGGAGCATCAGTGGCGAGGTATCGATGCAGACGGGAAGACGGGACATTTTCCGGGATGCTACCCTCCCCAGTGGCACTATCATCTAACCCAATCTTCGGCCAGCAGTTCCTCCGGTCGTCGTTTGGCGTTATTCAGACTGGGAACTTTCGACGCGCCCCGGCGCCGACTAACGTTATTCAGACTGGGAACGTTCGACGCGTCCCGGCGCCGACTAGCGTTGTTCAGAGTGGGAACGTCCGACCGTCCCGGCGCCGCCCAACGTTATTCAGACTGGGAACGTTCGACCATCCCGGCGCCGACTGACGCTATTCAGACTGGCATCGTTCGACCATCCCGGCGCCGACTAACGTTATTCAGACCGGGAACGTTCGACCGTCCCGGAGCCGACTAGCGTTATTCGGACTGGGAACGTTCGACCGTCCCGGCGCCGACTAACGTTATTCAGACTGGGAACGTTTGACCGTCCCGGCGCCGATTAACGTTATTCAGACTGGGAACGTTCGACCATCCCGGCGCCGATTAACGTTGTTCAGACTGGCAACGTTCAATCGTCCCGGCGCCGACTAACGTTATTCAGACTGGGAACGTTCGACCGTCCCGGCGCCGACTAACGTTATTCAGACTGGGAACGTTCGACCGTCCCGGCGCCGACTAACGTTATTCAGACTGAGAACGTTCGACCGTCCCGGCGCCGCAGCCTCCGGCGACCAATGGCCTCAAAGCCGCAGAGTGGTGGTAAGTGAACAGGTGCGCTGACCGCTGCACTTCAGAGAATACAGCAAGCTACTAGTGGTGGGGAAGTGGGGCGGGGGGGGGGGGCTGTAAAGAAAATGTCCCAAGACGACGAGCTGTGCGTTGCAATGTAACATGCTCTGCATGCGCGTAGGACAAATGGGTTCTGACGATTGTACTATCAGGCAACCATGGGAGATTATGTATCTTCCTTATCAGCTGTGGGCTAAGCATCTCAGGTGAGACTCAAGCCTCCTCCCCTACTTTGGGAGGCAGGTGGGACAAATCCGAGAGACACGCGGCTTGCAGTTTTAAAAAAAATAAATTTGGTCCGAATCCTTTGAATGGGTGGATTTCTGGGATCAGCGCTCACGCAAAGCAGTGCTTGTGTGAGCCCTGACCCCCACCATCCGATCGCGCAGTTCCAGGCAACGGCAGAATTTAGTGGCGAAAGCTTTACGTGCCGCAATGCCCGGCACGGTCCGTCCTGCCCTCTGACGTCAACTGACCTTGAACGCGACCGCTGCCACCGGCCGCAGGCCATACCTGCCAAGGGCAAATAGCGAGCGCCCTAAAGCGACTCGAACCCATCCCGCCACGGATGG